TTTTTTTTTTTTTTTTTTTAAAGGCAAAAACAGATGCTGACTAGCACCCACGGCCCAGCTGACATTAAACACTATGAATTTGAAGTAAATCCAGTTGGCAGAGTTACTTGAACTTTTCTAATAATATTCAGCAGCCCAGAAGTATAGAAAATTAAAGGTTAGATTAACCCAGGATTAGGGAGCTGAACAGGGTGAAATTCAGTTACAATGAAAGAGACACAGAAATATTGCACATTCTCCACCCCCTTCAAATGTCAAGTCAAAATTCTAAATGCAAGGGTTTTCCCTCTCACAACTGTATGAAGTATATCTAATAACAGTATTAAGTATCTCTTAATACTGATTTTAGTTCATACTTTAGCTAAAATTCGTTTAAAAATGTGTTCTGGCTAAATAAAACTAAAGCTAATGGTAGAATTGGTGCATAATCTATAATCTTCTACCAGTTAAAGCCTATGTGTAGAACTTTGCATTTTTAACAAAGTCATTTGGGAACTAACAGTTTACATAGCTGGAAAGTCTCCCTGCAGTTCCCAGATAGAGCTGAAAGGGAAGTCCTTTGGCAACCACTTTGTACACCATGTTAACACCTCATCACCTCTTCACAAGCTGGTTAAAAAAAATCACAACTCCAACACATTTATTTAACAAATTCACTCAACAAATACTGAGTATGTTTCTGCTGTATACCAAGCAGTCAACACATTGGGTGACCAATGTTTTAGGATGAGGCCTGGTGCAAGAAGATTAATTGAGCAAAATGAATTTCCTCTTTTGAAATCTGAGCCAAGAGGTATTAAGCTAGTGAGGCATTTCATGTAGAAGTTGGAGCTGAAAAACTACCATGTAGAGTGGGCCCAAGTGTCATGTGGCAGGTAGAAGTCCAGGGGAGGCAGAAACAAGGAGTAAGCTCTGGAGACAGAGTGAAAACTATAGATTCCTCTGAGGGAGAAATCACATGGACCATAGAAGAGAGATGGAGAAGATCTCTCCTGAGAACTGACCCATTGCTTCTTACAATTCTAGTCCTAGGCTCCACTGATGCATAGACTATAATAGACTCCATTTTCTTAAGGTACTTTGAGTGATTCTCTGCTTCTTGATCCAAGAGGAGCCTAAGCAGAAACCACAATTTGAATGATTATTTCACCATACAGTTTTGTGAGGACATATAGTATTCTACATATGCTGACATACTATGGTCCACACACTAAGTACACCTCTACTCGGCACATTTGTTGATTAATTTTTCTATGTTTTCACATTTCTTCTCTTCTTAGCATCCGTACTCTAAGGAATAAGCTGTAGCCTGAATATGTGAGCCTTGAGTAGGTGGGGAAGACCTGCCTATTACTGATACTCGCATCTTAGAGGTTCTAGGAGGGGGTCGGCAATGTGAGCAGTTGGAAGAGCATTGGCTTTACAGTCGTAAAACCTGATGTCTGTCCCTAGCACTAGTCATGTGACTTTGGCTACATTACTTTCATCCTTCAAGCTTCAACTGGTGTCAAAGTACAGGCACACCTCAAAGATATTGTGGGTTCAGTTCCAGCTCATCACAATAAAGCAAATAATGCACTAAAGTAAGTGAAATGAAATTGTTTTGGTTTCTCAGTGCATATAAAACTTGTGTTTATACAACACTATAGTCTATTAAGTGTGCAATAGCATTATGTCTAAAAATGTACATCCTTTGATTAAAAAATACTTTATTTCTAAAAATGCCAACCATCATCTAAGCTTTTAGTGAGTCATAATCACTGATCATATATCATCAAAACAGATATAATAACAATTTTAAAGCATGAAATATTGTGAGAATTGCCAAAATGTGATACAAAGACACAAAGTGAGCAAATGCTGTTTGAAAAAAATGATGCCAGTGGACTTGTCAGATGCAGGATTGCCACAAATCTTCAATTTGTAAAAAATGTAGTATTTAAAGCGCAATAAAGTGAAGCACAATAAAACAATTTCACTCTTGGGTAGGTGTGGAAATACTGTATGTAGCAGCAGCTAGAACCAGCACATGGAAGAATGTCAACAATCTTCACCCTCATGTGTGACTTGCCTAAGACTACATGTTTGGAAATAAGCAAGCATCTTTTCTGGGACCCTCTCATAACCTACTTGCATCCTCCAGTCCATACATTTCTCCATGTTCATGAAAGTAAATTCAGGTGATATTCAATCCTAGACATACATTATCCTCATATTTTTCTTGAAGATGGTGTTCCTTCTTCCTATATCTTTCCTTCCTTCCTTTCTTCCTCCCTTCCTTCCTTCCTTCTTACCCTTCCCTCTTCCTTCCTTCCTGATGTCCCAAGATACTTTCTTTAATATTTCCTTTCTTTTTAAGGAATTTCCTTTAGCCATTCTTTTAGTTATGGTCTCCTGTCAAAAAATTCTCTTAGTTTTTCCTCAGCCAAGAATGTGTTGATTTATCCTTTGTTCCTGAAGGATATAGGATTTTAGGTTGGTAGTTCTTTTCCTTCAACAACTGAAAAATATTGTTCCACCTCCTGGAGTTCATGCTTTATGATGAGAAGTCTATTTTGATTAAAATTGTTTTCTCCCTCTAGGTGAAATTTTTTTTTATTGTTTCCAAGGTCCTTTTTTTCCAAGGTCTAGTTTTCAGAAGTTTGACTATAATGGGTTTTGGTATGGATTTCTTTAGATCTATCATATTTGAGGTTCATTCACCTTCTTGAATCTACAGGATGTTGCCCTTTTAACAAATTGGGAAGTTTTCAAACATTATTTCTTTGTCATATCGTCCTTCTGTGATCTCTTCTCTGAATGTTAGATCTTTTGTTATAGTCTCACAGTTCCATGAAGTGCTGTTCATTTGTTTTTTTCAGTCTTTTTTCTCTGTGTTTTCCAGAGAGGTTAATTTCTATTGCTCTGTCTTCCATGTCACTGGTTCTTTCTTCTGTTGTCTCCATTCTGCTGTTGAGCCCATTAACTGTTTTAAATTCTAGTTATTATAATTTTCAGTCTTGAAATTTGGTTCTTCTTTATATCTTCTATTAGCATTCTGATATATATTATTTCTACCTTAGATTGTATTTTGTAAGAGGATGTTAACTCTGATTGTCAAATTAGCAACATGAGATATTTGTTCTCCACTTTCTTACCAGAGAATATAAGTGAAGCTAAACTCTATGCTTTCTAATTTCATTCAATGCTAGGTAGTAAGAATCCATATTAATGGAGTATGATCTGAGAGGTCACAGTTTAGTAATCATATGAAAAATTTTATCCCTGGGTAAAGTTAGACCATCTAAACCTGCATATCTGGCCTCAGGGCCAGATATTATGCTATAATGCACCGAGGCACTGTATTGAGTCTTTGCTCAGCAACATTATAACAAGCAAGTGTATAAGTAATAAGTAATAAATTATATGTAGGAGTGCTATTAAGAGTATAATGTATTACATCTCAAAGTATTGCATTATGACAATAATAGAATAATTTCTCACAGCTCTATATCACAAGAAGCTGATCAATTTATATTTATATTTGGAAAGTTTTGTGAAACTAATAATTTCCTTGCTTAAGCTGCCAGGAAATTCAGAGTCAAATTTGGTAGATTTCGTGTATTGGTCTTACCCTTGACTTCAATTCTTTTTCTTTATTTTTTTCCCCAACATTTTATTTATTTTTGAGAGAGAGAGAGAGAGAGAGAGAGAGTGCAAGCAGGGGAGGAGCAGAGAGAGAGGGAGGCACAGAATGAAGGAGGCTCCAGGCTCTGAGCTGTCAGTACGAAGCCTGATGTAGGGTTCGAACCCATGAACTGTGAGATCATGACCTGAGCCAAAGTTGGACTCCTAACCGACTGAGCCACCCAGGTGCCCCTCATTTTATTTTTCAATCAAAATTTTACTTTTACCCAGACTTCTTCAAATATTTGTTTTTTTCCAAGTTCTACAGTGTGCATTTTGGTACCTGGTTTCATTTATTTTGGCAACAGAGAGAAAAAAAAATATTTTTCAAAGATAGAGTGTTCATAAGTCCTTAATAGGTCAGGGAATAAATCTCAGGTTTGTTCTCTACTCACAACAGTAACTTAATGAGTGCTGCCATTTTAATCACACACTGTCTCTTTCTCAGGAGACCTTATACACATATATTTGCTATCACATAATTTACAGTGGATGTGTTCGATGGAGCTCTTTGAAGGGGCAGACAAACACAAGTACTACCTGAAGGACTGAGGCTCCACTGTGGAGAAACTGAAGACCACTTTCAGCCGAGTCAATTCCACCAGTGGCCAAAATGGGAAATCCAGGCAAAGCACGAGCAATGGAGGTCACAGCTCTCAAAGCAATAGGTCTGATGGCTGTGCCTACAGAAAATGAGAATAATCAATGGTTAGCATATGTTGAAAATACTGCCTTATAATTATTATTATGTAATGGTAGTATTGTCCTAAACAAAAGTCAAATTTCTTTATCTGTATTTAAGATATATATATATATATATATATATATATATATATATATATATATATATGTAATACATATACATTGCCATGTTTTATAGTATGCTAATTTGATGGATGTGTATTTACTTTAAAATTTTTGATGCTATTATTGCAAGCAAACGTGTTATGCAAGTGGATATAGCAACTGTAGAACTCCTGCATAAATTACATGCATAATACAATTTGATATACAGTAATGTGTAAAAGAGTATATGGAATGTTCAAGCATCTGTTTTAAAAAGAACAAGGAACAGCAGATTTTGAAAAAGAAAAACAATCGCATACAGTGCATAAATAGACATACAGCTCTGTTATGTATAAAGCAGCTGGTGTGAATAGAGATACTGTGAAAACACTCAAGGTGCTGATGAACTTACAGATTCCATATTGCTTTTTACATGTATTACTCATAATTTGATGAAATTTAGTGAGCCTAATATAATTTTTCAGACATTAGAAAGTTTCAACCAAGGTACGGACAATTGCTAGAATTTAGTAATTAAAGAGTATGTGCTTAATTTTTTATATTTAGCCAGACATTACCAATATATTATTCCCTGATCATAATGAAAGCATCATGGATGGACAGAACACTTGGGGGACATTTTTTAAATGATTAACTGCACTAAAGCTGCTTTCAACTATCAAGGGTTAACACACTCTGAAGTAAATTAATGCTTTCATCATATTGGGATGTAATTTGATATTTCTGGTGTGGACTCATAAGTCAATGTTCTATAAAGGTATTTTCTGAACTAAAAATAGCTCTATCTGTGCAAGAATTTGACATTACCTCAAACCAGGGTTCCATACACACACAAAAAAAACCCACAAACAAGCAACTGGTAAAATCACCTCATGTGGTGGGTACTTTATCATCACCTCCACCACCACAAGCATCTCCACTGGCATTTTCAATTTGTATTTATGGGAGCATTCTCTTTGAGGAAGCGCAAAGAATTTTCCTTAAAATTAGTGCATTTTTTTATCTTGTTCATAGGCATTTCAGATGATATTGAATGTATCTGTAACTGATGCTTTTGCATTAACACCAAAAATGTGTATGGAAATGTCTGTTCTTATTGCTCCCACACCTTAAAAAGCTTCCACTAGATATTAATGTCTCTCAGTCAAGAGTGTTCCATGTTGACACTTCAGAGTTCCATAACGGACACTGAAATTATAAGGCAGGAAAAATGAGGGCAAATTAGAAACTGAACACCAAGATCCTATTTCTACCTCAAAATGTTTATCAGTGATTTCTCAGTCTGTCTGGTTTAACCATAGAGGAGGTAACATAGTAGACAGGAGAATGCATAGCAAGAATACATACCCACACTGACACTCACATACATATTTATATACACAAATCTTTAGCTGTACTAAAAAAGATATCAAAGTAAGAATAAAACTTAAATGAAAGCATTATAAAGGAAATCTGTAACTTAAATAAATATTTTAGGTAGAGATATTTCTATGTGCTCCTTATATCTGATATGTTCAGGACATATTAAGCTGATGCCTTTTACATACATGTTACTTTGAAATGATAAACACTGGGATTCTTTTTTTTTTTTTTTCCTCATTTAGTTGACCCTAGAGAGTAAAGGAAATTTGAGCTAAGCAGATAAATAATTTATTTCTAACTGCACTGTTAGAAGACTATCATTAACACTAAGGGATAAAATTTCAAAGTGGTACACAGGGATTTGGCCAAATACTCCAATTGATATTAACGGACATCAAATGGCAAAATCCCAGAACACAGCTTTGAAAATTTAACCAGTTACGTTTAAAGGGCAACATTATTACACAGGTGTTAAAAAACACCAGCAAATCCTCAGTGGCATTTGAAGATGTTCAATTAGGTCAATAAGACATATTCTATTTCATGTTTTTCTTTCTTTTCTAAAACTTTCTAATCTACCTAATGAACACGAAAACTTTTCAAACCAGTAAAGGTATATTCTTAAAAATTAAGAGTAATTATGTTCTCTGAGGAAATGTGATCCAAAAATGAAGAAATGGATCCCTCTGTTACTGGCTAATAGTAAATTCAGTTTTTATTTCCATTATAAATTCCATTTGATTAGTTTTCTTTGTAACTCAACTGATTTAATATGAAATATAATCTACCTGTTCTCAGAGAGCATTTTTATGGGGAATAGGTTTTAAAAATGACTTTTATCTACCATGAAAGGATTCTGGGAGGAAATCTTTTGAAAGTATATAAAAGGATCTTTCTAAATTGTTATATAGAAATTTCTTTTTAGTTTTAAAGTGATAGGTATAAAGAAATAAGGTCCAAGATAAAAATAAAAGTTTCGGTGTAAGGGAAAAATACATATAAATATTATACAGAATGGTACATATGTGAATTAAAACACATAAATATTTCCACGGTCATAGGTATTCAGATAAGGATTTTTACAACTTTGTCATTGCTACAGTAATTAATGATTTTAGACCAAAGACCAGGGAGGAAGAAGCCAGTCTGAGAGGCTTAAGGAATTGAATGTGGAGTCCATCCTTAAGAAAATGAAAAGGTTTAAATCAAGAAATTGAAATCCTTTAAGCTTAAATGAACTCATAGGCAACATGCAATTTAAATCAAGCCCTCATCCACATGGAGTTGCCAGATGAACCTCATGCCTAATGGGAAATATCAAGCCATCCTGTTCCAACTGCGTGGAATGCTCCAATCAAGGTCAAGACATTCTGAATTTCCAAATTTTGAAACAAGCTGTAGGTTTAAACAAACAAACAAACAAAGAAAACAACAAATGAACTGGAGTCCCAACACTGCTGCCAAGAGCTCTGATTCGTTCTAAAGCCGCCCTCTGGAAAAGCTGGTGGACTAGACATGAACTGTAACTTTTGACATCTAATCAGTCTAGGCCTTCCTTATAGTCACATCTTAGAATGCAAATCAATGTGCTGAGGTCATGGGTCTTCTTTGGAACACTTCAAAGAATATTTTTGGATTGATTCATGTTCTAGAAAAACATTTTAATAAGCCAGAGATTTTTTTAAATGTTTATTTATTTTTCAGAGAGTGCAAGTGGGGAGGGGCAGAGAGAGGGGGTGGGTCTGAAGTGGGCTCTGCACCGACAGGCTGACAGCAGCTATCCTGATGTAGGGCTGGAACTCACAAACCATGATCACGAGCCAAGTGGGAGGCTAAACCGATTGAGCCATCCAGGTGCCCCGCCAGAGATTTTTTAACTAAAAGTTAATCAATCTGATTAATTAAAAGTTAATTTGGGCGCCTGGGTGGTTCAGTCGGTTAAGCGCCAGACTTCGGCTCAGGTCATGATCTCACGGTCTATGAGTCCGAGCCCCGCGTCGGGCTCTGTGCTGACAGCTCGGCGCCAGGAGCCTGCTTCCGATTCTGTGTCTCCCTCTCTCTCTGTCCCTTCCCCTGCTTGAGCTCTGTCTCTCTCTCTCTCTCAAAAATAAAACAAACATTAAAAAAAAAAATTAAAAAAAAATAAAAGTTAATCAATCAATCATTAAGAAAATGATACTATCTCTAGTCAATATCATTTTAAGTGCAATTTAAAAAATACTAACGTTGGGGCCCGGGTGGCTCAGTCAGTTAAGTGTCCCACTGTTGATTTCAGCTCAGGTCATGATCTCACAGTTCCTGGGATCAAGCCCCGCATCAAGATCCATGCTGACAATGTAGAGTCTGCTTGGGATTCTCTCTCTCCCACTATCTCTCTGCCCCTCGCACTCTCTCTCTCTCTCTCTCTCTCTCTCAAAAATAAACACTCTCTCAAAAATAAATAAACATTTAAAAAATGCTACCATTAACTATAGTATTATATACTGATATGTAAGTCTTAAGATATTATGACTTAATCAGTTTCCTTACTCAGACCTCATTTATCCATTCATCTGTCCATCTGTCTATCCAAAAAATGTTTAAGCACCTATGCAATTTTTAAGAATTGCACTGAATCTGAAAAGCTTTCAAGAACGATCCCAATTAATCAGTTTGTGTCCTAACCATACTGTCACCAACGATAGGTACCCAAAACACTAGTCCCAGTGACTTTAGGAGGTAGTTTTAAGGCAAATAATATGAATCCATCTATTCATTCTGTACAGATGTTCCATTAGGAAAAATTCACATTCATTTAAACATCATACATTTTATAAATACTATTAATATGAATTTCAGAAAGAAGGTAATTTGAGGATGAACTAGTTACAGCATCAGACAGACAACAGGGCCACTTAGGTTCAAATTTTAGCTCCACTACTTGTAACCTGTGTGACTTTGTGAAAATTTCTTAGTCTCATTGTACCCCTGTTTTTTCATTTATAAAATAATAAAATTACAAAATTAATAAAATTATTAATAAAATTTTATTAATAATAAAATTAGAGTTGTTTTGAGGATTAAATGATTTAAGCCCAGAAGTAAAATTGCACAGGTATTTGCTATTCTAATCTGTGCTACCCACAAGAACAATTGATTTCGGGGGAGCATTTATTCAGTTTACTTTGACAGGGCCAGTTATGTTTTTGGTGCGTATTTAGTAATGTAATGAAACCAATTTTTCTTTTATTAGAGACAAAAGCATGATGCCTATTATGGTAGAATTTGACATCCCCTGAAACCTTAGGAGGACCACAATCCACCCCCTTTGCCCCCTCTCCTAACGGCTCTCATCCAGCAGTGTCATAATATTGGTAAGATTACTATAACTGACTCCAAAGACAAAAATCTCAAAGGCAGTCACCAATATATTTAAGTGTTTGTTTTTTTGTTTTTTTTTTAGAATCCAAAGTGCATGCATTAAACGAATATACAAGGATTTTAATGACAACATCGGAACTCAAGTTTATTGGTG